ATATGTTTTATTTCTATTCATCAACAAAGGTTTTAAGGCATATTTCAACAATCTCCTCCTTGTCTTTAAACCGTGTTGATACCAATTTAACCATCAACAATATTGATGCTCTTTACTGGGTTGAAACTCTAATCGCTAACCTTGATCAAATTCAAACAAGCCTTGAATCTTGATCTTGCCACATGCATCCACTTGTTTCCAATTACTCTTTTCCGCCTAGGTAATTTAACAAGCCTACAAGTCTGATTTTTCAACCACCCTTGACTCCACTTGTCTTCAAATGTCTTCTTGAAGGTTTTTCTTCTTTTATTTTGCAGTCCTTCCGCCACATTAAAAACATAAAATCTAAGGCTAGCATAATCGTCTCTTTAAGATAGTACAATAACCCTCCATACATTATCATAAGTAAAATGATAATCAGAGATCTATGTAATTGTTCCCTCACTACTACTAGTATCCATAGTAGAAAACTTCACCTCAAATTGAGTTTTCACCGTTATAGTTTCTCCCTTCGTTTTCATTATTCTCCCTCTAAAGAAATTCTATACCAACCAAGTAAGTTGTTTTAACCCCAATCTTCCAAAAAAACTCAATTACAACTCAGCAATAACATGCATTTTTATCCCCTAATTTCTGCAAAATTCATTATACTCCTCTGAAACTTTCTCAAGCCATTCATAACGCCTTAAACTCAAGTCTCACAGTTCTTCCTTATCATGAAAGCCCCCCACTAGTTAATGATGAATGAACAACATTTAAACCTTCTAAAATATATAGACCACATATTTTAGACACTTTTACAATAATCAATAGACCACGCGAAATCTTCAACACTTCATGTTGAACTCTAGTACAATAGCCTAAATCATCAAACATACTTATAGATAACAAATTTCGCTTGAGTTTTGGAACATACCTTACATTTTGAATAAGAAGTTCATTATCATCAAATATTTTAAGTCTGACCATACCAATACCATGAACCTTGCAAACCTTATTATCACCAAGGAGAACAACTCCACCTTGCACCATATTAAAAGTTTCAAAGTATTCTATTCTTAGACACATGTGATAAGAGAAACCTGAGTCAATGACCCAACTATCTTCAGTTTCCAAACTCGATTATACTAGTATATCAACATCCTCATAACTTTCCTCATCCAAGGCAACTACAGCTTGAACATAATTTTCATTAACCTTTCTCTTAGAAAAATCCCTTTTAAAGTGACCGATTTTCTAACAATTAAATTATTTTACCTTTAACTCGTCCAACCTCTTTGATTTGGACATCCCTTTAAGCTCACCTCTTCCTCTTGACACATTTAAGCCTTCACCACTATCTTCAATCTTCAAATATTTCGACTTTAAAAATTCTTTGGATTTCACTATCGTCTGGACTTCATCCAAAGTAATAGTACCTTTCTTACTATAAAGAAGGGCATCCTTAAAGTGCTCAAAGGATCTGGGTAATGAACTCAACAGTAGTAAAGCTTTGTCCTCATCATGAATTTTCACTTCAATATTCTCAAGATCATCAATAATCTTGTGAAATTCGGTAAGCTGCTCAACTATGGATTTATACTCCACCATTCAGAATAAATAAAGTTGTTGTTTTAGACACAACCTGTGAGCCAAAGACTTAGTCATATACAACGATTCAAGTTTTTCCCACATAGAAACCACTATTTTCTCTCTGGAGACCTCTCTTAGAACTTTATCCTCAAGGCACGAGTTAATGACACTTTTTTCCTTATCCATCTTCTTGTCTTTTGTACTTGTGTAAGACCCACAAACATCAATGCTTCACTCTTCAAAGCATCAATACACTTCTCTTGAATTAAAATTGTTTTCATCTTAATTTTCCATAACCCAAAGTCGCTATTTCAAGAAAATTTCTCGATCTCCCATCTGCCCATGGTGCTCAACACCTTTTTGCTCCATACTCACCGCACCACTTGTTGTGAATCTTGTTGTGAATTACGATAAAATTCAAAATCAATTTGTGAGGTAAAGAATAGTAGCAACCAAAATAAATGGTCTACAATAATAATAATAATAATAAATAATAATAATAATAATAATAATAATAATAATAATAATAATAATAATAATCTATACACACATAATATAACAGAATAAAGCAAGAAAAACATGAAGGTTTGTTTACCCAGTTTGATCAAATGATCTACTCTAGGGGAGAGAGCAACTCTCCAATTTATTATACTCAGAAAATTGTTACAAGAGATTATATATGAGTTACAAGAAAATAGCTTTTGCTTTTAGGTTTTCAAGAACAACCCTGAATGCTCCCAAAAATTAACGTTATTTTCTATCCAAGTGTTTCTCAGCTTCTTCAACCTTCAATATATGAATAACTCAAACCCAGTGTGTAAACAAGTGTTTCCCAATTCTCCAATTCCCTTAGATAACTCCAAAGATTTCCAAAACCCTTGTCTTTCTTGTTAAATTGTAATTCATATGTGTCAAAAGAAGATTTGATTTGTTTAGATTTAAATAGATTTGAATTTAAATCTAGAATAGATTTGATTAGATTTGATTTAGTAAAAAGATATTTTGGGCTTGGGTTTTAGCTTAGGGAGCAAGCTAACCTAAATCTATAAATAGAGGGAGTAACCCCTATTTTGTAATTAAGTCATTCACAGTATTTTGCAGTTGCAAAGTGAATAATAAAGATTCCACAGTTTGTGGGCAGAATAGAAATTCTGCAGAAATATCTCCATTGTTCTTTTATTTGTTTGTCATAACGAATCATCAGTGGTGGTCGAAATTCATCATAAAGAATTGGTGGATTTCCAACATTTCTAAGGTTTCTCTTGAGAATAGCCAAAATTCTATGATATGCATTTAAACTCTTGCTCTTCTTTGTTACTGTAAACTCTAAGATTGTCACACCACAAATTCCAAAACATATTTCCTTAATTGTTAGAATAAAATATATTATTATAATCTTATAATATCTCTCAAATATTATAAATATCTTATAATATCTCTTAGACTATTATAAATATATATCTTATAATATCTTTTAGAATATTATGAATACATATATATATATATATATATATATATATATATATATATATATATATATATATATATAATATATATATATATATTATATATATATATATATATATATATATATATATATATATATATATATATATATATATATATATATATATATATATATATATATATATATATATATATATATATATATATATATATATATATATATATATATATATATATATATATATATATATATATATATATATATATATATATATATATATATATATATATATATATATATATATATATATATATATATATATATATATATATATTATAATATTTTTTAGAATATTATAAATATTTTATAATATCTTTTTATATTAACTTATATGATCTTTAAATTAATATAAAATATTCTAACATTAATGAATTGATCAATGAATCGAACCGACTGAACTCGATACTCATAAATCGCTCGTACAAAGATTACTTTTTGACATTTTGATTTTTAGCAATCTCGAAATATATTTGTTCATGTTTGATTTTTAATTAAATTTCGTCGTTACGATTCTAACCTTGATAAATTTAATTAAAAATAATTTTTAATATAAATATCCAAGTACCATCCTTAGAATCAGTAATAGAGGGTAGAGGTTCATCCGAGTGTAGCTATTGAGTTTAGGATAATAGAATAACACCACTAAGTACTATTTACCTAGTTTTATGAATTTTGATGTATGAATATTTTTCTTTTTAAATAGATAATGTTTTGAATGAAAATAACTTTATTTAATAATATATTTCAATATTATTATGATAAAAATAAAAATAAAAAAGTTGGAAAAATATAAAAATTAATATTTTAAAAGGAAAGCACCAATTTTTTTTAAATAAGTAGTATTTTGAAAGGTTAAACACTAAATTTTTTAATGAAAGTTAAGAATTACTAGTTTGATTGGTATAAATTTCTCATGTGTGGGGTTTGTAACCTTGATAATAAACATTTAGCAATATTAAGAACCCTCTCTTTTTAATACTTTTTAAATATTTACTCTATTATTGGTTGAAACAGGTATAAGTTCTATTACTTTATATGAGACTTATTTTTATAATAAAAAATGATTGTTAAAAGATTGTTAAAAAGAAAGAAAATGTTATTAGCACCCTATATCTATATATATATATATATATATATATATATATATATATATATATATATATATATATATATATATATATATATATATATATATATATAATTTATGTACAAAAACTTTAAACGATAATCATTTTAAAATCGATGTACTATCATTTAATACAAAATCCGTAAGACTTATTAATACTGATAAAATAAATTTTTTTATCAATGATATAGAACACAGTTTTGAAAAACCAAAAGATATTTCTGTGTGAAATTAATCTCTATTTATCAAACTAAAACCCTAAGTTTTTTTATAAATAAATTAGATTAATTATATAAAAGTTAAAAACTGAATACATAGAAAAATTATGAATGGATTTAGTATTAGTATTTTGAGTGTGTATAGTAGATATATAATATATTCTATAGATTAATTTAAATATATCTTTAATTTAAAGAGGTGTAAACAGCTAGTATATGATTCAACTTTTTTATTTAAATTATTGATTTGTAAAATTAACAATTTGTTTACACTAATACAAACATATAAATAAATGTTGTGGTTAGAAATTGAATCATACCAACAAGTTACACTTATTTAATTCAACTGATATATAACTGATATATATAAGTGAGATATCACATCCACCGTATATTTTTAATTAAATAATTGTAAAACTCATACATTTTTTAATTACTATATTCAGTATTTATGTAATGAATAATTTGTCAACCTTATATTTCAAAACTGAAATTTAATTTATTCATATGATAATAAACTGTCTCCAAGACATGAACAAACATCACGTACATTAGCTCATTGATTGTAAACAACACAAATAGAATAAATTCCTTTATCATAATCAAACTCACAAGCTTGCGTATTTGTAACAATCCATTTGCAAACTCTGCAATTCTTATAATCCCTTCCTTGTGACCACAAATCAAACCATTTGAGATTTGAACCACTCCATTTAACGCTACAATAATACTTGCTCGATTTACCAATTCCTCTTGGCCTAAAAACAAAGGAGAGTTTCTCAAGAGATAGAAGGATCGCCTCTCCGAGATCTTCACCTTCTCTTTCGTAGCAATGAATGGTTAAATCTTTCTCATCATTTAACCTATTCGTGATTTCTATATGAACTAGATGGGGAAGGATCCCTGCTTCAGATACAACTACAAACAATAAAACAAGTGATAGAGGAACGACAATTCTCATAAATGTTGCTGACATGGTGTATATAATTTGTGTCTAACGCATTACCTACATCCCTTTTTATAGCCACTCCTTCTATTCGTTACGTTTATATTTCTAAAATATTCTTTTGCATTTGTATGTGATTGATTTTTATTTAAGATCTTCAAAATTAATTTATTTTAGGCATAATTGGAAGAAAAAGAAATAGTCATTTGAAATGGTATATTCATTTATAGAAAACTTTTTAAAATAAATTTATACTTACGAAGTTTGACTAAAAATATAATTTTATTGTCAAAAAAATACAAATATATTTATATATTTCTATTGCGAGTAAAATTATAACTTTTTATAGGAAAATATTTATAAGAATTTTAAATAACATTAAGGTGTCAAATGTAACATTATGACATTTTTAATAACTTTTTACTGCATATCCGTATAATAAAATATATCTTTAGATTGATAGTTATTATTATATAGATCATATTTATAAAAATTAACACCAATCGAAAATTATTTTACATATTAATAAGATTAATAAAAATTAATTTCTAATAAATAATTTTCATCATTCTATTTGAAATAGATGAATAATTTGTTGATTGATGTAAAATTTTATAGACGTGATTTATATGATAATAACTTTTAATCTAACATTAAATTGTGTTTTACAGATATGTATTATAGAGTTATCAGAGATGTCATAATGATTATTTTGTCACATTTGTGTCATTGGATCGTAACTTATATATATATATATATATATATATATATATATATATATATATATATATATATATATATATATATATATATATATATATATATATATATATATATATATATATATATATATGATAGTGGGAAAGAATAAATAGTTTCTTCTGGTTTCCCAAAGTTGTGGAAGTAGAAGGAAATCGACAATTTCTCCATTATAAAGGGCCACAGTTTCCTCGACTTAGCCTTTTGGGTCGTTTCTCTTAACGCCCTTTAAAGTTTCTTCAGTTCGTTAGGGTTATGACCAAATCGTGAATTAATGGAATTGGTCCCCTTCATCAGAGGATAAGTTGGTGGAGACCTAATATAAGTTGAGGTTGGGTGACCAAAGCTTCAAGAGCTCGTTGGCCCGCCCGACTCATCTTATGACCCTTTAAAAATCTTGGTTGTATGAGTTATGTGTTGTCCTCTTCTGGGGCCCAATAAAATTATTATAGTTCCAATTGAGGCCGGAGAAGTGGCAAAGCGATTGAAACAAGACATGAGGTAACGTCTTTTTGGGCTTGACTTGGATAGTCGATTCCCTCAAGCGATACTTAGATAGTCTAGTCTCGTATGCGATACTTAGATAGGTCGAGTCCCTCAAGCAAGACATAAATATTATAATTTCTTGAGAGAGACTTAGCCTATTGAGTCCCTCCAAAAAGACTTAGAAAGTCAAATCCCTCGTGTCATACTTAGATAGTGGGGTCCCTCGGATGAGACGTAGATATTTGAATCGATCAAGCAATACTTAGATAGTAGAGTCTCTTATGAGAGACATGAAAAGTTGAGTCGCGCTTTATAACTCTTAAGTCTCTACATTTGTTTTATCTTTATTGTTGCCCCATTCGAGGTTTTCTTGCAACATTGTCCCGTAAGATCTCTTTATGATAATACTCCCGCCTTAAATAGTGTGTTTATTGATTTCTATACATTATTGTTCTTTGGTTTGGTGAGGACAGCTTGTCAGACTTACCCTGAGGGAAAGTTATGATTTCTATACATTATTTAAGATCTTCAAAATTAAATTATTTTAGGCATTATTGGAAGAAAAAGAAATAGTCATTTGAAATGGTATATACATTTATAAAAAGCTTTTTAAAATAAATTTGTTTTACGAAGTTTGACTAACAATATATTTTTATTGACAAAAAACCAAATATATATTTTTTTGGGAGTAAAGTATAATTTTTTATAGACAAATACTTATACATGTTTGTATTTGTGAAATACAATAATGGGGGGAGTGCTTGCTTGCATGTATTGTTGCATGAGACATGATATGCTAAGTTTTGACGAAATTAGGGAATATATATATATATATATATATATATATATATATATATATATATATATATATATATATATATATATATATATATATATATATATATATATATATATATATATATATATATATATATATATATATATATATATATATATATATATATATATATATATATATATATAAAACCATGAGGAATATATATAGAAGACCTTCTGGGGTGGATAGTGGGGGAAGAATAAATAATTTCTTCTAGTTTCCCGAAGTCGTGGAAGTTGGAGGAGATAAGTTCTTTCTCCATTTAAAAGGAATGATTTCCACCCTTTGGATTTCTCATTATGTTTCTTTAAACGCATTTTAAAGTTCTCAGTCTACTAGAGTTATGTCCAAATAATGAATTGAGTGGAATTGGATTCCCTCCACCTTGTGAGAAGTTAGTGGAGACCTAATATGGATTCATGTTGGGTGGCCCAAGCTCCAAGCGAGCGCTGACCCGCTCGCTCATCTTATGACTCTTTTATAAGGTTTTGAGATGCATCGGTTATGGGTTGTTCTCTTTTATGATCCAATAAAAAATATTGTAGTTCACATTCCCTCAAGCACGATGTTGGGTAAGGGACAAATTGATTTAAACAAGACATGAGGTGATTTCTTTTTGGACGAGACTTAGATAGTTGAGTCCCTTCAGCAAGACTTAGATATTCGATTTCCTTAGGTGAGACTTATATAATTGGGTCCCTCGAGCGAGACATTAATAACCTAATTTCTTAGGAGAGACTTAGCCAGTAGCGTACCTTGAGAAAGACTTAAAATGTGGAGTACCTCGAGTGTGACTTAAACAGCCGAGTCTCTCTGGAGAGACTTAAATAATAGAGTCCATCAGATGATGCTTAGTTAGATGACTCCCTCATACGATACTTAAAAAGTTGAGTTTCCCTTTATAACTTTTAGGTTTTGCGTTTGTATTATATAACTTTTAGATTTTGTGGACGGAGGACAAGGTTTCAAACATCATTTCTTTCAACATTACATAACATCGCATAATTGTATCTTAGTGTTTTGATTTCATGCAGTCTCTAGGTGTCTTATCTCTTGGTGTCTTGTCTCTTGGTGTCTTAACATATAAATACCTATGATTTCAAATAATCATACTTGCATTAGTAAAAATATGTAGAAATTATAACATACAGTTAATATACTATGAAAATAATAAAATACTTGTTAATTTTCCCATATGCCTTCTTCATGATCGATTAGCATTCACAACATCTCTATCAACATCATCATATGAGGTAGGAACTTGTGTCGTGTTAGAAGGAGTGGACGAAATATCAAGACTTTCATCACTAAGAGGAATGTTTTTTCCTTGGAGAATGATTAACCATTTCCGCGTTATGTCGAAAAAGTTGGTCACATAGAAAACTTGTTTTGCTTGAGAAGTCATGATGAATGGTTCGGTCATATAATATGCCTTGTTAAGGTCAACACGTGTGAATCCTAAGTCATATATGTGTACACCATTACTATTATTGGAAATCCACTTATATTTAAATAAAGGCACTTTGAAAATAACATAATCAATCTCCCAAATCTCCGTAATGACACCATAGAAAGCGGTAGTTGCCAATACATGATTCTTATCTTTTGAACTATAGAAATACATTGATTCGGATTCAACCATAACCCCACTATTTTGCATTGTACTACGATCATATTTTGATTTTGTATAAAAGGTATAATGAACAATGTCGTATGCAGTCCAAGTTATTACATTAAGTTTTGGCTCGTACAACAACCACTTAAGTATCTCGAAGGATCTACGATCATTAGATACCTTTTTATTAAACAAATCTACGAATCTCTTGTTATGCTCTATCAACAATAACTTAACGCTCATTCGAGGATATTTTTTCTTCAAAAGTCTTTTGTGAGTATCTACGTAAGGTTGCACTTCATCAATATTTTTCAATATATAAATGTGCTTGAATAACTACATCCTGAGCCATTGATGTAACATTTAGACCTTGAATACCTCTTCCGTCTGTGTAATCAGCATGACGAGACTTTGGAATGCCTATATAATCCACTTTTGAAAAATAGTTTGTACAAAGCTCAACAACTTCTTCAATGATGTACCTTTCAACAATTAAAGCTTTCGGGCGGTGGTGATTGTTCATATATCCTTAAAGATCTTCATACATCACTCTATTGGATACATCTACCTTAAATAAACTGGACCATAAAATCCGATTTCTTTGACTAGATGAACAAGTAAGTGAACCATAATATCAAAAAAATGATGGAGGAATATACATCTCCAATTGGCACAAGATTATGGGATTCTCATATTCTAATTCATCTAAATTTTTGAAATCAAGAACTTTATTACATATGTCATTGAAGAATAAGCACAATCTAGTTATAGTTACTCTCACATTTTTTGGTACGATCCCAATGATAGCCACTGCTAGAAGTTGTTGCATCAATACATAAAAATCATGAGATTTTAAACCAATTAACTTGAGATATTTCATTGGCACAAGTTTCTTGATGTTTGATAAGTAACCTTTAGCAACTTTAATACCATGCAAGCAGACGTAGAAAATTTTCTTTTCCTTTTTAGATAGAGTGTCACATGTTGGAGGCAGATAAGTTCTATTTCCTCTATCTATCAGAGCCAACTATTTTCGCATACCCATCGCCTCCATATTGAGATGAGAAGTATTACTATCTTTAGTCTTGCCTGGAATGTTTAGAAATGTTCCAATTAAACTATCACATACATTTTTCTCAATGTGTATCACATCAAGACAATTTCTAACATCAAGACTTGACCAATATAGAAGATCAAAGAACACAAACCTCTTTTTCCATATATTTTTCTCAATGACCCTTTTTATTTTTCTCTCTTTCCGAAGACAACATTAATGTGTTTCTGTCATTGATAAACTTCATCCCCGATTAAAGGTTTAGAAGCCATAGGAAA